GGAAAAGGCAAGAGTCAGAAAGGTGACCAAAAGGGATCAAAGGGAGGAGGAGCTGGAAAACAATCCAAGGGCAAAGGAAAAGGAGAGAAACAATGTTATGTTTGTGGCCATACAGGACACTATGCACGGGATTGCTGGCAACAGGTTCGAAATGTTTCCACAGATGGTGGACAAGGATCTACGGTGCAGGGATCTCCTGCGTCATCAGCAGGTGGCATGTCGAGCGTGTCACACTCTCAGCCCGTGTCTCAGCCAAGCAATTCTGCCCAGGCTACCCAACATCGTGTTGCAAGAATCTTGGGAACTGGTGATGATGTTAAGCATGATGAACTGGTTTTCGACCTACGTAGTTCAGGGTCTTCACATTTCAGTGGCAATGTCAACGCTTTGCACTACTTCATTGGTGATGACGATGATTTTCAAAGCATGGGACATGTCAGAGCAGTCATTGATGAGATGAGTGACAGCGGTGAAGAGATGTTCAACATTTTGTTGGATTCAGGAGCTGATGCATCTATTTTCCCTGTGACCTTGCTTGGAAAAGGTAGACCGACAGAAGGTGTTGTTGGGAAGTTGCATGATGCGCAGGGAGCTGAGATACCAATAGATGCTGTCCAAGACATGGAAATCAGGTTGAAAGATGTGAGTGGAAGCACAGTGATTTTGCGTGAAAGGGTTGCGGTTTCAAAGCATGTTAGCCAACCAATTCTGAGCTTTGGTCGTCTTCTCGAAGGAGGCTGGTCAATTGATGGATGTCAGCAAGCGCTCACCCACCATGCAGGGGCCAACATTCCAGTGGAGTTGCAAAACAAATCTCTGATGGTGCAAGGAACAATACGTGTTTTGCGTGAGTCATGTGATGTTGTTGACATGCATGTCAGGGCAATTCAAGCTGATGTCATGGAACATGTTGTTGAAGGACGTGTTGGATGGGACTTAGATGCCTATGGTCAAGGACTTGGAAGGCACTTCGACAACAAGTACCAGGACCCCAGTCTGGTAAAGCCTGATTTGCCTGGACGTTTCTGCAGAACCACGCTGATTGAGGGCGATGACAAGAAATGGTATGTTGTTGAATTGTGTGAGAGACTGGATGGTTTGATTCAGTATGATGCAGAGTTCTATGAGATGAGTGGCAAGCGCAACATTATTACCATTTTGACTGATGGTGAAAAAGATCCTCTTGTGATGGGATTCAAATTGATGGATGCAGAGCCCCAAGCGTTTCCAGTGCAAGCTGATGAAGGTGATGTGGAGATCTCAGAGGAGATTGAACCGGCTGATGAAGTTGTAGGTGTTGAGATTCCAGAGGGACAGATTACAGTTCAGCAGTCTTCAGAAGAAGAAATCAATGTCAATGGAACTGTGTTGAAACCTGACAGTGGGCTTGCAGCACTGAGGGCAGGTTGTGCGTTCTATGGTCTTTCGAGCTCAGGTTCCAAACAACGTTGCTTTCAGAGGATGCTGGATCATCAAAAGAAATTGGAACTTGACATGGTGCTTGCTGCTTCACAGGATGCCTTGCAACAACTTGGTAGGCAGCCACGTGGACCGCCATCTGCAGAGGTCCCTTCAGAAGCAGAGCAAGCAGCTCATCGACTGACCCATATGCCTTTTGCAAGTTGGTGCCCCAGTTGCATAGCTCACAGAAGCAGGCCAGATAGGCATGAAAGAACAGGTGAATCACATGCCAACGCAGTACCCACGATCAGTTTTGATTTCTTTTACACAAAAGCAGATGGAGAAGCGCCTGGTGAAGATGCTCCAGATACAATTTTGGCGCTCATCATGGTGTGCAGTCAAACCTCATATGTTGCATGCGTGCCTTTGCAAGGGAAGTCCCAGTTGGATTTGATGAACAGGGAACTGGTGCAGTTTGCACAGAGGCTGGGACATGGAGAAGTGATTTTCAGATGTGACAATGAGCCTGCAATTCTTCAACTGCAAAGGTTAGCAACCAAAACGAGGCAAGCAATGGGATTGAAAACCAGAATGACGAGCTCAGTGGCCTATGACCATGGGAATGCCTTAGCTGAGAACGCAATTTCACGTGTGAGGTCTCTTGCGTGCTCACTGATGCATCATCTTCATGGACGATTGGGCATTCAGCTTTCAACAACAAGCGCGTTGTGGTCTTGGGCACTCAGACATGCTGCATTTCTGGTGAGTAGATTTTCAGTGATCAATGGAGCCACCCCATATGAGCTTGCGTATGGAAGACAATTTACTGGCACTTTGTGTGAATATGGTGAACCGGTTTTTGCTTTCATCCACCCTGGGACAAAAGCTACACCCAAGTGGAGACGTGCACTCTTTCTGGGCAAGTCAGAGGACCAAAACAGTTTTGTGTTGTTTGATGGGCAAGCAGTGGTGTTGTCAAAGAACGTCAGAAGGATTCAAACGACATGGAGAAGCCACATGGCTTACTATCTTCACTGCAAGTGCTACTCATGGCAATACAAATCTGGCTTTGGAGCAAGGGTGTTACCAACCATGAAAAAGGCGGTACCAAAAGCCGTCAGCTTTGAGGTTCCCATTGGACCTGTGGAAGGAAGCAAACTTCATGATGAAGAAGCTGAAGCAGTGATCAAGTATGCTGAGCAGGAAAAACGTGCTGAAGAAGAACAGTTTGCGATGGGCAAGAATGACCCCTTGGCTTTGCAGTTTCAACAACAGCAAGAGAAACAGCAAGTGGCGAATCCTACGGTTTTTGATGACCACATTCCCATTGACACATCAACTGCTCAGGTGATTGGTGAGGCAGGAGGAGCTAGTGCTGCTCCCAGTTCAGTTGCAGATCCTGGTTTGATGATTCCGGTCACACCTCCTCGTGACTATGTTGAGTTGGAAAGTCCCCGTCTTCCTGCATCTACAAGACCCAATGAGGTGATGAGAATGAGTCTACAAAAAGGGCTCGAGTTGAAGATGCAAAGAAACAACGTATTAACCGTTTGAGACAGGAGTATGAAGACAGACTTTCTGCAGTGAAAATCGAGTACAAAGAGTACTTCACCATGGATGATTACTCAACCGACCTTGATGTTGAGCATGGTTTGGAGGAGGAGCAAGATGATTGGATTGGAGAGGATGAGATTCAACTGACTGGTATTCCAGAACAACTGTGGGCAGACTTTCCTGTTGAGTCTACACCGGCAGAACCGCCAGCTGCTTGGATTGACGAGCTGGCTGACCAGACAGAAGTGAAAAGGCTGGTGGAGATGGGAGTGCTGGTGGTAGCAAATCAATTTGATGGTGCAGTAACTGGCAGTTTGAGTACCAAGTTCGTGAGAGACTGGCGACTCAAGGACTATGTTGACAGCAATGGAGGTGTTGTTAAACGTTGGATGCGCAGATCCCGTTATGTTGCCCGAGAGTTTGCAAATGTGCGCAGATGGGACACATTCAGTCCAGCAACAGGAGCTCACACTTCGAACTTACTTCCTTTGAAGTATCTGTGGCAGAAACAATTAGCTGCAGAAATGAGTGAGGGAAGAGCATACGAGGTGGTGCTTGGTTGTTTGGATGTGAAAGATGCGTTTTTGCAAGTGGCACAACAAGAGCCAATTCTTGTGACCATACATGGGGAGGAATATGTGATACAACGCAATCTTCCTGGTCAAAGATTAGGTGCTCGAGCCTGGTATGAATGTCTGCGTGATTTCCTCAGCAAGGAACTTGAGTTTGAGTTTTGCAAAGAACAACCGTGTCTTGCCAGGAACAAAAGCTGCACGATCATCATTCACGTGGATGACATCATGTTTGTTGGAAGCAAAACTTACTGGCAAGATGTTTTCCTGAAACGCATGAGTGAGAAATTTTCAATTTCACATTCTCAGTTGGATGGAGTTGGAACAAGCGTGAGTTTCTTGAGACGAAAAGTGACAGATATGGGTGATTGGCTGATGCTAACTCCAGGCATCAGTATCTCCAAAGTGGTGAAGGTTTTCGAAGAATCATTTGGTGTTGCACGAGCTCAGAAGATTCCATGCAGTGCTGAAATTCAAATGGAAGATGTTTCTCAAAAGTTGAACCCAAGAGATACTACAGCATATCGATCAATTGTTGGATTGTGCCTGTACATTGGTCGAGAACGTCCTGACCTGATGTTTACAATCAAGGAGTTGGCTGGTGGAATGTCAAGCCCAACATTGACAGGACTTCAACGGCTGCGTAAGCTGGTAGGGTACATGAAGCATATTGGTGACGTTGGTGTAAAACTTGTGACGCCTCTCCCAGGTCAAGGAAAGTTTTCCAATGATGGTGAACACTTTTGGGTTCTGGAAACATACAGTGACGCTGACTGGAGTGCAAATCGATCCCACAGGCGCAGCACATCGTGTGGGATGCATTTCCTTAACAATTCCTTCCTCTACGGTAGCAGCAGGACTCAGAAAACAATTTCATTGTCTTCTTGTGAAAGTGAACTTCATAGCCTGGTAAGCTCAATGTGCGATGGCCTTTTCATCATAGCATGTGCACAGTTTGTTCTGGGAGAATCAATTCACCATGTCCAGTTCACAGACAGCAGCAGTGCCCGACAGCTGGCCAGTCGTCAAGGTGTTGGAAAAGTTCGACACTTGTCTGGAAAGGTTTTGTGGGTACAACAGATGGTGAACGATAAGCTGGTGATACTCAGGCAACTGCCTACAGCGGTGAATTTGGCTGACATTGGGACGAAGAGCTTGGCAAAACAAAGGCTTTCTTATTTGATGAATGAAAGTGGTTTAATCTATGTTGCAACTGGTGAAGAGGTTGGATGGGAGGAAGCACAACAGCAAAAGGAGAAAAGCGCCAATAGCCAACAAATCAAAAGGATTGCCAAAACGATTTTCAACATGAGCGTTGCTATGGGCCTTGGGCCGGTGGTTGCTGATGCACAGCAGTGTTCAGAGCCAGGCAATGGCACAAACGCTTGGTGGATGCTGGGAATTTTTCTGGTGATTTTTCTTGCGGCAATTTGCCGGTTTGGATGGCGCAAATGGATGCAGATGAGAAAAGACATGGAGAACGTGGAAACTCAATTGGCAGACCACTATGAGTATGCCGCATGGCTTTGTGAGAGGTTGGATAATATGACATGGATGAGAGATGCAATCCATGCCCTGGGTGAACGATTGGATCAGTTGGCAAATCGCATTGCAACCAATGCAGATGATACAAGAGATGCATTGACTGTTTTGGACGATGCAACTGACGTTGTGCGCTATGGGTTGATGGAGTTTGGAGGATTTGTGAGGAACCAAAGCCTCACAGGACAACAAAGGACCCATATGTTTACTCAGGAAAGGGCAAATTTTGTCCTATGGAACATGCAGAGGAATCGACCAGATGACACCGACCCTTTAGAAGATGCAGAGGAGGAAAGATTGACAGATGATGAGGTTGAACCTTCATCCACAGAAGGTATGAGCAACCTGATGGAAGCAATGAGGAGAGAACAAAACATTGCATTGACAAGAGAAGCATGGGAGGACGCCTCAATGATCCAACAGGCGCTGATTACAATTCTGGATGCAAGTTCTGGAACAAATCCTGTTGGGATGACTATGGGCGTGATTGAGAGAATCAGAAATGTTTTTCAGAGACTGCACAGGTCAGCACGAAACCGTGGACACAATGACCGTGCAGGATCGTACCTACGGTATGTGGAGGACCTTCATGGAATTATGCGTGGATGAGAATTCAATGGTTTTTCAAAATGATGGCTTTTCAGAAAGAAGCGCTGGAGAGACTGTCATGGAGGCCAAGAAATTTACAAAAGAGGCAAGTCAAAGACTCAGCCTTTTTGAGGAGGAGTACGAAAGAGTTGGAACAGTGCTCACATGTGGCATGGCAGTCATGGAAGCAAGGATGACACGCACAAAACGAGACGTGAGTGTAGGAATCCATTCCAGTTCACATGGACATGAAATCATGTCTGACTTTGCATCGCCAGGCCCTTTAGGCACAAAACAGCGCGCGTTACGGCTGTTGTTTCACACTGCCATATCCAATAGAATAATTTCCAATCGGTGCAATTGACATCTTGGGGTTGTGTGTAAATCTGCGAAAGACACCAAAAAGTTGGGTAGTCCCCTAAATACTTAGGACCATTCGTTTGCATGCGTCAAATGTCAGCAGCTTGCCCAGTGAGTAGATTTCAACCTTCATTCTGAAGTGCGCCGGACATAAGGCCTACTGCGCTAGTACATGGAGATTACTTCTTTATATTTGGGGTAAATAACCAGTAGTTAGCAGTATTGCTAGGAGGTCCGTCCCAAAAGAAGGCTTAAGGAAGTCGAAGTCCTAGTGGGGTCAGCTACAGGCGCAATACACCCTTTATTCCTAAACTGGGGGCAAAGCGCTACGAAACAAGAAGGTGTGGTACTGGAATTCGTTGTTAGATAAGTAGTAGGTGCCCTTATGATGTTGCTGCGTAGCCTACCTCCCAGACACTATCAGCACGTCTTGCTTTTCTGGTCAAGGTGGGATGGATATGAATTGTCCCACAGGCAGCCGCGGCTGCAATGATCTATCCCTCTCGGCCTGGATTGGTAGCTATTAGGCCTAGATAGTGCTGTCTGGACTTGCTGATATAGCTTCGACAGAGCACTGCTCTGCACAGGTGAGCAAAGCAAGCGCATACGTCTGTGCGACCCTGTAGTTTCGCAATCTGAAGGGGACACATGCTTCCACTATTTGCCTGATCACCCGGGATATGCAGCGGAAGAGCAGACAATGTACCCACTGGACCCGCTGGAACGGCTCAGCACTTGCACGCACCAATGTTTCAATCACAGGACAGGGGGCTTTGGCAATGATGGCGATGAGGAGTGGGAGCTCATCACAATCCAATTGGACATTAGCCCGAGAATCTAACAGGAATTGTACCAGTGTATGATCTCCTCTATGTATGGCAAGGCCAAGCGGGGATGCTGGCATGCAAGGTAAGTGAGGCAAGCTCCCTGAAAAGGATAAATCACGTCTGGCATTTCTATTTGGCTAGGAGGAACCGCATCTTGTCGAATGGTCAAGGATAACAAGTTGTTGGGTTGGCCTTGCTTCATGTCGCACGGGGAGAGATCCAGTCTTCACTTTATATGAGGCAAAGTAGAGTTGGGTCGTTCCAGTACACGGTACGGAACACCGAATTCCACTGCATCGCTGTTGGCACCTGGATAACCTCAAGGACAGCTGTAATTTCGTATTGCCTACGGTCCACGCTGGCTTGCAGTGGCCGAAAGGGAGCAAGACGCTCTTGCATGGCTACCAGGTCAATCTGAAATGGACTCGCTGCCTGTAGCAAAGCTGCAATCCGGACCTTTAAGTTCCACCCTGTCTGTGTCCGAAGAGATAATCCGCCCACAGTCATTAGATGCACACCTGTAAGGGCATGCCGGACAGTCAGTTCCACGGCAAAAGCAGTGTTGCAGTTACTGCATGAAGGACTATTGAGGGAACTGAGAAGGGAGAACAGGGGAACAAATGAACGGGGAAGAAGACAACACATGACCATCATCGCAGCAGTGGGCGGTTTAGTCATCTCTTGAAGGTCTTTGCATCAGGACAACGACCGCCACTGACTCACAAGAGCATAGTCCGATTGCAAGTGGAGACTGAAACGAATTCACCTCCAGTAGAAATTGATTAAGAGCAGGTGATGTCATCAAAGCGACCGGAGTCAGCAAGAGAAGTAGCAAAACAAAAAGTCAAACGAACTAGAGGTGACAGGATAAAATGGAGCCAGGAAGAGAGTTGCAAACAAAGCCATCATGGAAGAATAGGGAGGATTGTCAGTGCAAAAGGGGTCAGGGTCCTACGTGCTGTGGCCATACTCGCAATCGTGTAGCAAAAGCATGACAGGATCAGTTAAGGAGGGCCCCGATAAAACCAAATGGTGCACCTGACCAATCCAGGGTCAGGAAGGCACCGCCGGAGAGTAAAAGGGTGAAACAGAAGAAACATGGACAACAGAAAGAAATGGGGTGAAACGGGACGACCAAGACCAAATCGGTAGGTGGGTAAGTGTGGGTTACGCATCTGCAGTACTCTCAGCGACCCGAACAGGGACAGGCAGCCTGCCTTGGGTGTCGAACCGCTTGTCCTCCTTCAACAGGGTGAGCCACATGGTGTGGAAATGTAAAGTACATCTCCTAAGGGCGCCATCCACAATACAATGTCTGAACGATCTCTATGCGTATATATCATGACCTCCATGGTGGAGTATGTTTTTTTTGGCGTGATGATAGACTTCTATCTCATTGTGGTTATGCCGAAGTGCTTAGCTGCGAGGAGTTCTATCGTGGGATGTATTCATTTCTGTATTTGGAATGGTTTCAGCTAACTTGAGGCAGTTTGATTACTGCAATCATTTTCTCTGTACGATTTGCTGCAGAATGGTACATTCAAATCTGAATTTGGTATCAGAAACAGACGTTTTGGTTGAAACGCTTGAACTTGTCTTCAATATTTGTCACAGTCATCACTGCTCGTGATGACTTGGTACCATATTGGGGAGTACCGTGCTCTATCGGCAAGCACTGCTTCTCTTTTAGTGGAAATTGAGGTATTTGACCTTTTTTGGTTTTGTGCACCATGATGATGCAAAAAACATCTGGTCAAATGTCAACAATAATTTGCACATTTTGTTTGGCATCACATGTGGCACATAGTGTTTGGTGGAGCGACCTGTTATTTTGGTTTCTGTTACTGGATGAAATGTACCGAAACATCGGTTTCAAACCGTCCCAACATGTGGCTGATGTTAAAATCATGTTGGTTTGAAGTGCGTCAATTTACCATGTACTTCCCACATGTTCGTTCGAATTTGTTTTTTTGTGATGATCGGCAGTAGTTTTGCATTAATATAGGACTGACTGACTGACCATTTTTTTTTGTTTTGTGTTAGTGCCCCAAAACTTGCATGTTTGAATGAAAAGTAACGGTTCGGCCACATTTGAGCAAAATATGCATTTTGTTGTGGGTGTTTCGGTTCCATCATGCTGACAGAAATCATTGTGAACAGATCGAATTCAGTCGGGCCATACCTCAGTGTCATTATCAGGAGGAAACACAAAGAACGTGCGACAAATTGCATGGTGGAAAAAATGAAGAGGTTCAACCCATTGTTTGTTCATTGCTTTGAAACCACCCTTACACACTCCAGCTGATCGCAACGCACAATTCACTTCACTTTTTTTCGCCATGACGCCTGATGCCTCCAGGCGGACACAGGTGCCCATTTCAGGGTTGGAAAACTGATGGCCTGAAGAGAAGTGGAAATGGTGGAAAATTTCAGGTGGCATATTCGACTATTCGACGTCACTGGTACATATAAACCTGGATTGCTCGATTTTTTGTCGAACATGTTCATTATGTCATTGCCGAATTGTTACGATTTCGGAATTGCAGTCAAACAATTATTTAGAACATTTTAGAACCATGAACCCACCTTGGGGTTTGTGACACTTGCTAGAATTGTTGACCGTTGTTTTGTTCGCTGTGCCGATTCTTTGTGCATCATCAGCTCATTGCAAGGGTCTGAAATTTGTAGTTTGTGATGTCAAGCAGATGTGGCCGAAGCAACTATTTATTTTTCCACAATGGCAATCCGTGGCAATTGTGTTTTTCACAGCGGAAACCACAAATTGCTGAGCCCAACAAATTTCCAAATGGACTGAATATATCTAAAACTTGACTAGCAAGTTCTAGGATTTTGTGCAGCTGCAGCAGCTGAACTTTCCAAAAAATCCATCGCTCTGCGCGGTTTTGAAACCGCGATGGAAAGTGAGATGTCGCACTTTGGGCACCTTGGCGACCTGAAGGACTTGGATTCGTTGCTTCGATTCTTGGCGAAAAGGGCCTTCAAAATGCTTCAAATCGGATGTGATTTTGGCTGTTTCAGAAACCGATAGATGTTCGAATATGATCCCACAATTTACAGGAAAACTCCAGACTTTCCAGTCAGACCCAAAATTTCGGTGAAGTATTACGCAACCTCATGACCGACACTGAGGTCAAA